GCTAAGCTATTTTCCTAGAGCTTCTGCCGACCGTGGCGTCCGCCATGATTCCCCTACCGGAAGTCCCCTTGAAATGCAGTTTTTGAAAACTACCCAGGCAGTGGGAGAAAATTATTAATTTCACTAGTTGTTTGCTTCAAGAATAATAATCATCAGGTTATATCTCTATTGGGTTTTAGTGGGATATGGCCCTGTCCTTTCTATAAAACCAGTGGTATTTTCCCAATGTAATTAATTATCTGAATCATTATGTACCACAACTCTCATAATCCCTAGCTATTGTTCTCTGGGATTGGGAATCATAGGACATTTTGGCCAAGAAGAGAAGGCTGAGAGGAGATATGATAGCCATGTATAAATATGTGAGAGGAAGCCACAGGGAGGAGGGAGCAAGCTTGTTTTCTGCTTCCCTGGAGACTGGGACGCAATGGAACAATGGCTTCAAACTACAAGAGAGGAGATTCCATCAGAACATGAGGAAGAACTTCCTGACTGTGAGAGCCGTTCAGCAGTGGAACTCTCTGCCCCGGAGTGTGGTGGAGGCTCCTTCTTTGGAAGCTTTTAAAGAGAAGCTGAATGGCCATCTGTCAGGGGTGATTTGAATGCTATATTCCTGCTTCTTGGCAGAATGGGGTTGGACTGGATGGCCCATGAGGTCTCTTCCAACTCTAGGATTCTATGATTCTATGATTCAAGGCTGTTAATCATCTTCTGGAAGGACATCCAAAATGCACTTTTTTTGGACTACAGTTCCTCAATCTCCCCAGTCACCAGGCCCAGTATTCTGGGAGTTGTAGTTCCCTAAAACAACAGTAAGCAGTGGTTCCCATGTCATTTTGGGGAAGAGAAACTAGGATTTTGTCCAGACTTCAAAAAGAGCTCTCCAAGGTGCTGAACCTAGCTGGGTGAATGGAGTTCAGCACCTTGGAGAGCGCCTTCAAAACTGAGGCTATTGGGAGCATCTATACCAGATATGGGTCAACTTAGGCCCTCTGGGTGTTTTGGACTTCAACTCCCACAATTCCTAACAGCCGTTAGGCTGTTAGGAATTGTGGGAGTTGAAGTCCAAAACACCCAGTGCGCCTAAGTTGGCCCATGCCTGGAAAACCCTCTTCCCAATTAGCTAGCTTCTTAAAGTGGTGGATGATCCACCAGCTACTCTTTCCATCCAAGCAATAAACTTATGTGAAACCCTCTTTGTAGACCCAACGTGTTTGAGCATCAAACTATGCCTCACCCATAGAAAGAAACCCACTGTGGGAACATGGGCAACTCACTCACACACTCTGAACCCCATGATACAAAATAACATGAAGGCGCACAACAATTTTGGACATCGCAGCAAAGGAGAATATTGCTGCCTCAGAGGTGTCTCCTCCTCTGGAGATTTTTAAGCAGAGGCTGGATGGCCATCTGTCGGGAGTGCCTTAATTGTGTCTTCCTGCATGGCAGGATAATGAGGTTGGACCGGATGGTCCTTAGGGTCTCTTCAACTCTAGGATACTACTGTAAGAACAGTTTTCATTCGGGGAGGTTGTTTGGGGGTTTTGGTTGCATGTGCATTGTGGAACGAATGCTGTTGGACAGGGTTTGACCTCAAGGCAAGTTGCAGGTTTGTAAGACCTTATAGTAATGGACAACAAGTTAAACATGAGCCAACAATGTGATGTGGCGGCAAAAAAAGCCAATGGGATTTCGGCCTGCATCAATAGGAGCATAGTGTCTAGATCTAGGGAAGTAATGCTACCCCTCTATTCCACTTTGGTTAGACCACACCTGGAATATTGTGTCCAATTCTGGGCATCACAACTGAAGAGAGATATTGACAAGCTGGAATGTGTCCAGAGGAGGGCGACTAAAATGATCAAGGGTCTGGAGAACAAGCCCTAGGAGGAGCGGCTTAAGGAGCTGGGAAAATAAGCCTTGACATTTGGGAGTTGTAGTTGCTGGGATTTATAGTTCACCTACGATCAAAGAGTATTCTGAACCCCACTAACAATAGAACTGGGCCAAACTTCCCACACAGAAACTCCACAACAACCAGAAAATACTGTGTTTTCCGATGGTCTTTGGCAACCCCTCTGACACTCCCTTGTGACCCCTCCAGGGCTCCCGACCCCCAAGTTGAGAAACAGTGCCCTATGCTATCCAAAGTTTATACAGACACACACATACACACCAAAAAGCTATAGATCTGTGGTTCTCAACCTGGGGTCCCCAGATGTTTTGGCCTTCAACTCCCAGAAATCCTAACAGCTGGTAAACTGGCTGGGATTTCTGGAAGTTGTAGGCCAAAACACCTGGGGACCCACAGGTTGAGAACCACTGCTATAGATCATCAATGAATAGCACGTGCTGCAAGTATATCTCAAAGGAAGGGACTGACAAAACCTCCGCTAAATATTTATCTCCTAAGAAAATCCTGTGACGTTCAAGGGAGTACATACAGTCTTGTGGGGACTTGAGAGCATCCATGGATTTTGTGTTGTTGAGGGTTTTCATGGCCGGGATGATTGTCAGGAGAGAATGGTTCTGGAACATTGCCAGACAGCCTGGAAAACTCACAGCCACCCATCCATGGATTTTGTATCCATGGAGATTCCTGGACCAAACCTCAGTGGATACTGAAGCTGCACTATAGCAGTGTTTTTCAACCTGGAGGTCGGGACCCCGGGGGGGGGGTCATGAGGGAGTGTCAGAGGGGTTGCCAAAGACCATCAGAAAACACAGTATTTTCTGTTGTTCATGGGGGTTCTGTATGGGAAGTTTGGCCCAATTCTATTGTTGGTGAGATTCAGATTGCTCTTTGACTGTAGGGGAACTATAAATCCCAGCAGCTACAACTCCAAAATGTCAAGGTCAATTTTCCCCAAACTCCACCAGAGTTCACGTTTGGGCATATTAAGTATTTGTGCCAAGTTTGGTCCAGATCCATCATTGTTTGAGTCCACAGTGCTCTCTGGATGTAGGCAAACTACAACTGCTAAACTCAAGCTCAATTCCCACCAAACCCTTTCAGTATTTTCTGTTGGTCATGGGAGTCCTCTGTGCCAACTTTGGTTCAATTCCATCCTTGGTGGGGTTCTGAATGCTCTTTGATTGTTGAACTATAAATTCCAACAACTACACTCCCAAATGTCAAGGTCTATTTTCCCTAAACTCCAGTGTTCCCATTGGGGCATATTGGGTATTTGTGCCAAGAGTAGTCCAGATCCAGCATTGTTTGAGTCAACACTGCTCTCTGGATGTAGGCGAACTATAACTCCCAAACTCAAGATCTAGATTCCAGCAACTACAACTCCCAAATGTCAAGGTCTATTTTCCTCAACCTCCAGCAGTGTTGACATTGGGGCATGTTGAGTATTTGTGCCAAGTTTGGTCCAGATCCATCATTGTTTGAGTCCACAGTGCTCTCTGGATGTAGGTGAACTACAATTCCAAGACTCAAGATCAATGCCCACCAAACCTTGTTGGTCGTGGGAGTTCTGGATGCCAAGTTTGGTTCAATTCCATCATTGGTGGAGTTGAACTATAAATCCCAGCAACTACAACTCCCAAATGTCAAGGTTTATTTCCTCCCAAACACTGCCAGTGTTCACATTTGGGCATATTGAGTATTTGTGCCAAGTTTGGTCCAGATCCATCATTGTTTGGGTCCACAGTGCTCTCTGGATGTAGGCGAACTACAGCTGCTAAATTCAAGGTCAATTCCCACCAAACCCTTCCAGTATTTTCTGTTGGTCGTGGGAGTTCTGTATACCAAGTTTGGTTCAATTCCATCCTTGGTGGGGTTCTGAATGCTCTTTGATTGTTGAACTATAAATCCAAGCAACTACACTCTCAAATGTCAAGGTCTATTTTCCCTAAACTCCACCAGTGTTCCCATTGGTGCATATTGAGTATTTGTGCCAAGAGTAGTCCAGATCCAGCATTGTTTGAGTCAACACTGCTCTCTGGATGTAGGCGAACTATAACTCCCAAACTCAAGATCTAGATTCCAGCAACTACAACTCCCAAATGTCAAGGTCTATTTTCCTTAACCTCCACCAGTGTTGACATTGGGGCATGTTGAGTATTTGTGCCAAGTTTGGTCCAGATCCATCATTGTTTGAATCCACAGTGCTCTCTGGATGTAGGCGAACTACAACTCCAAAACTCAAGATCAATGCCCACCAAACCCTGTTGGTCGTGGGAGTTCTGGATGCCAAGTTTGGTTCAATTCCATCGTTGGTGGAGTAAAGAATACTCTTCGATAGTAGGTGAACTATAAATCCCAGCAACTACAACTCCCAAATAATACATCCTACGTATGTGAGAGCTGGACCTTAGGGAAGGCTGAGCGAAGGAAGAGAGATGCTTTTGAAATGTGGTGTTGGAGGAAAGTTCTGAGAGTGCTTTGGACTGCGAGAAAATCCAACCAGTCCATCCTCCAGGAAATAAAGCCCGGCTGCTCATTGGAGGGAAGGAGACTAGAGACAAAGCTGAAGTCCTTTGGCCACATCACGAGGAGACAGCAAAGCCTGGAGAAGACAATGATGCTAGGGAAAGTGGAAGGCAAAAGGAAGAGGGGCTGACCAAGGGCAAGATGGATGGATGGCATCCTTGAAGTGACTGGACTGACCTTGAAGGAGCTGGGGGTGGTGACGGCCAACAGGGAGCTCTGGTGTGGGCTGGTCCATGAGGTCACGAAGAGTTGGAGACGACTGAACGAATGATCAACAACACCTATCTGATATTTACATTAAGATTCATAACAGGAGCAAAATCATAGAATTTTAGAGTTGGAAGAGACCTCGTGGGCCATTCAGTCCAACCCTATTCTTCCAAGAAGCAGGACAATCGTATTCAAAGGACCCCCAACAGATGGCCATCCAACCTCTGATTAAAACCCTCCAAAGAAGGCGCCTCCGCCACACTTCAGGGTAGGAAGCACTTGATCCTATGTAACCACTACGCTTATACCGCAGGAATGCTACAAATAAAGTTGCAGGCCCACTCACCTGCAGCAGGGGGCGCCCTCGGCCCTGGTCGCTTCAGCTTCAGCACCCGAGGCCACTCATGGAGCCGATGCGGTCGAGCTTGAGGCCGAAGCAGCCCTTCCCGGCGCCGGCACCACCTCCTCCTCCGCCTCCGCCTCCTCCGCCGCCCTTCTTGCCCAGGCCTTTGCCGTGGAAGCGTCGCGGGCTCCCTCCTCCTCCTCTCTCTCCTCCTCCTCCTCCTCCTCCCGCGTGGCTCTCCCCGTGGGCCGCCCGGCCCCATCCCGCCCGCGGGGGCTTGCCCTCGGTGCGAAGGTCCCGCATCAGCCGCGAAGACGACGACGACGACGAGGAAGAGGCGTCTTTGCCTTTGCCTTTGGCCTTGGTGCCGCCCCGAGGGGCGCTGCCGCCCGAGGACGAGGCCGGGCCCGAGGAGGAAGAAGAGGACGCGGAGACCTCCTCCCGCAGCAGCAGCTCCGCCAGAGAAGGAACCTGCAGAGGGGAAGAGAGGGGGGGAAGGGGGCGGTGAAAAGGGGGCCCATTCCGGACAGGTCAGCCCACCTGTTTGGACCAGGACACTCGGTATACCTTGGCCTTCCTGACCATTGGGGAGGCGGATAGTCGCAATTCCCCCAAAGAGAAGGATTTCCCCAACTATTTGCTCTGGAAAGCCCCAGAAGACCCTTTCCCAGGTTCTCATAGTTGCAATATCCCAAAAAGAGAAGGATTTGCACTGGAAGGCCCACAATCCCCATTGGCCAGACGACTAGGGGATTCTAGGGGTTGCAATACCCCAAAAGCGAAGGATTTCCTCACCTGTTGGGATTGGAAAGCCCAGAAGCCCCTTTTCCAGGTTCTGATAGTTGCAATACTCCAAAAGAGAAGGATTTCCCACCTGTTTGCACTTTAAAGCCCAGAATCCCCATTGGTCAGACAACTAGGGGATTCTAGGGGTTGCAATACCCCAAAAGAGAAGGGTTTCCTCATCTGTTGGGATTGGAAAGCCCAGAAGCCCCTTTCCCAGGTTCTGATAGTTACAATACCCCAAAAGAGAAGGATTTCCCCCACCTGTTTGGACTGGAAGTCCCAGAATCCCCACTGGCCAGACGATTAGGAGATTCTGGATGTTGCAATACCCCAAAAGAGAAGGATTTTCCCCACCTGTTTGCACTGAAAGGCCCAGAATCCCCATTGGCCAGACAACTAGGAGATTCTGGTGTTTGCAATACGCCAAAAGAGAAGGATTTCCCCCACCTGTTTGCACTGGAAGGCCAAGAATCCTCATTTGCCAGATGACTAGTTGTCTAGTAAATGGGGATTCTGGGGGATGCAATACCCCAAAGCAGAAGGATTTCCCTCCTGTTTGGCTAACCATAGGGTATTCTGATACTTGCAATGGAGAAAAGAGAAGGATTTCCCCACCTGTTTGCACTGGAAAACCAAGAATACCCATTGGCCAGATGACTAGGGGATTCTGGGAGTTGCAATACCCCAAAAGAGAAGGATTTCCCCATCTCTCAGCTCTGGAAAGCCCCAGAAGAACCTTTGCCTGGTTCTGATAGTTGCAATGCCCCATAAGAGAAGCATTTCCCCAACTGTTTGGACTGGAAAGCCCCCGAAGCCCGTTTGCCAGGTTCCGGGGGTTGCAATACCCCCCCCAAAAGAAGGATTTCCCCCGATTGTTTGTTCTAGAATGCCCATAATCCCTATGGCTAGATGACCAGGGGATTCTGGAGGTTGCCATACCCCCAAAATCACTGGATTTCCCCACCTGTTTGGACTAGGAGACCCAAAATCCCCTTCCCGTCCGTGTGGTATTGGATTGGAAAGCCCAGAAGCCCTTTCCCTACCTGACCGTAGGATATTCTGATAGTTGCAATACCCCAAAAGAGAAGGATTTTCCCACCTGTTTGGATTGGAAAGCCCAGAAGCCCCTTTGCCAGGTTCTGGGGGTTGCAATACCCCAAAAGAGAAGGATTCCCCACCTGTTTGGATTGGAAAGCCCAGTATCCCTTTCCCTTCCTGACTGTGGGGCATTCTGATACTTGCAATGGAGAAAAGAGAAGGATTTCCCCACATGTTTGCACTGGAAAGCCCCAAATCCCCTTTAGCCAGGGGATTTGGGGTTTTCCAGTGCAAACATGACTAGGGGATTCTAGGGGTTGCAGTACCCCAAATGAGAAGAATTTCCCACCTATTTGGATTGGAAAGCCCAGAGTCCTTTCCCTGGGGAATGATTCCCCACCTGTTTAGAGTTGCAATCCCCTTCCCTTCCTGACCGTGGAGTATTCTGATACTTGCAATGGAGAAAAGAGAAGGCTTCCCCCATCTATTTGGACTGGAGAGCCTAGAATCCCCTTTGGCTAGGTGACTAGGGGATTCTGGGGGTTGCAATGCCCCCAAAAGAGAAGGATTTCCCCACCTGTTTAGACTAGGAGACCCGACATCCCCTTCCCTTACTAACTGTGGGCTATATGGATAGCTGCAATACCCCAAAAGTGAAGGATTTCCCCACCTGATTGGACTAGAAAGCCCAGAATCCCCGTTAGTCAAATGACTAGGGCATTCTGGGGGTTGCAATGCCCCAAAAGGGAAGGATTTCATTGCCTGTTTGGATTGGAAAACCCAGAATCCCTTTCCCTTCCTGACAATGGGGTATTCTGATACTTGCAATGAGAAAAAGAGAAGAATTTCGCTACCTGCTTGGACTGGAAAGCCCAGAATCCCCTTTGGCTAGATGACTAGGGGATTCTGGGGGTTGCAATGCCCCCCAGAAAGAAGGATTTTGCCACCTGTTTGGACTAGGAGACCCTACATCCCCTTCCCTTACTAACTGGATAGTTGCAATACCCCAAAAGTGAAGGATTTCCCCACCTGTTTGGATTGGAAAGCCCAGCATCCCCTTCCCTGGCTGACTGCATGCAAGCCATTGCTATGATCCTTTGAGAAGCCCTTGCACCTTCCCTCCCAAAGCTTGAATCCTCTCTATTGCCATCGCAAGCAAGCTTGGAACATCATAACACAGCTTGGGCTTCATTCTATGGCGCTGTCAGTCCAGCCAAGCCAAACTCCAAAGGCTTCAAGTGGGGCGGGTCAAGTGGGGTCAAGAGCCCCATGCTTTCTCCATCCTACATACCACCCAAAGCAGGTGTTTATTTATTGTTGTTGTTGTTATTGTTTATTGACACACCGCTTGGGTCTCTGTCTCTCCAAAAGGACTGCCAGGTGATCAAAGCAACACCATCCATGTTCTATCTCATTTGAACTGGATTATCTGTGTCTACACTGCACTATAACCCAGTTCAAACAGACTCAAAAGCTGGATCTATCCTGCCTTATATCCCAGGATCAGATCCCACATTACGGGATGGATCCTTCATTGACAACTTCTGAAAGATGAGCAGATATGGGCCAACTAGAGAATTTTGGACTCCAACTCCCACCATTCCTAACAGCCTCTATGCATGCAGGATTTGTGAATACTGAGGGATAGCTATACACCCCAAATTAATTAGAGACTCATCAGCATACCCACAGTATTGTTTCCTCATAGATTGTGCATTGACAACAACTTCTGAAAGATGAGCAGATATAGGCCAACTTGGGCTTTCTAGGGGTTTTGGACTCCAACTCCCACCACCCCTAACAACCTCAATAGATGCAGGATTTGTGGATACTGAGGGATAGCTGTACACCCCAAATTAATTAGAGACTCATCAGCATACCCACAGCATTGTTTCCTCATAGATTGTGCATTGACAACAACTTCTGAAAGACGAGCAGATTTGGGCCACCTCCTAGGGGTTTTGGACTCCAACTCCCACCATTCCTAACAGCCTTTATGGATGAAGGATTTGTGAATACTGAGGGATAGCTATACACCCCAAATTAATTAGAGACTCATCAGCATACCCACAGCATTGTTCCCTCATAGATTATGCATTGACAACAACTTCTGAAAGATGAGCAGATATGGGCCAGCTTGGACCTTCTAGGGGTTTTGGACTCCAACTCCCACCATTCCTAACAGCCTGTATGGATGCAAGATTTGTGGATACTGAGGGATAACTATACACCCCAAATTAATTAGAGACTCATCAGCATACACGCACCATTGTTCCCTCATAGATTGTGCCTTCTCAAGGGGCATCTCTGAAGTGGAGACAAAGTCCTGATTAATCCTCTGCCATCCCACATTTCTCACTGATGTTAGAAAGCCCCAGTTTCTCTTTCCTCCGCCCCTTTTGTCTTCAGCCTTCTTCCCTTGAATTTGGCTACACAGTCCTGATTAACCCTCTGCCATCCCACTTTTTCAGCTGACGTTAGAAAGCCCCCGTTTCTCTTTCCTCTTCTCCCTTTGTCCTCAGCCTTCTTCCCTTGGATTTGGCTACACTGTCCTAATTAACCCTCTGTCATCCCATTTTTCCAGCTGATGTTAGAAAGCCCCGGTTTCTTTTTCCTCTTCCCCCCTTGTCCTCAGCCTTCTTCCCTTGGATTTGGATACACAGTCCTGATTAACCCTCTGCCATTCCACTATTCCAGTTGACATTAGAAAGCCCCAGTTTCTCTTTCCTCTTCCCCCTTTGTCCTCAGCCTTCTTCCCTAGGTGCAAACTTAGTTGAAGCTGGTCCACATTCCTGATTAACCCAGTCCTGATTAACCCTCTGCCATCCCACTTTTCCAGCTGACGTTAGAAAGCCCCGGTTTCTCTTTCCTCTTCCCCCTTTATCCTCAGCCTTCTTCCCTTGGATTTGGTTACACAGTCCTGGTTAACCCTCTGCCATCCCATTTTCCAGCTGAAGTTAGAAAGCCCCGGTTTCTTTTTCCTCTTCCCCCTTTGTCCTCAGCCTTCTTCCCTTGGATTTGGCTACACAGTCCTTAACCTTCTGCCATCCCACTTTTCCAGTCCTTAACCTTCTGCCATCCTGCTTTTCCAGTTGATATTAGAAAGCCCCAATTTCTTTTTCCTCTCCCCTTGTCCTCAGCCTTCTTCCCTTGCTGCAAACTGAGTTGAAGCTCAGGTCTCTTCATAGAATCCAGATTATCGAAGCAGACAATCCACGTTGTCTGCTTTGAACCGGATTATATGAGTCTACACTGCCATATAATCCAGTTCAAAGCAGATAATCTGGATTTTATATGACAGTAAAGAAAGGGCCCATTGACTCCTGGATCTGTTGTCCAGCTCTCAGTCCACTAGACCAGGTATGGGTCAACTTTGGTCCTTCCAAGGGTTTTGGACTCCAACTCCCACCATTCCTGACAGCCTCAGGCCCCTTCCTTTCCCCCCTCAGCCGCTTAAGCCTGAGGCTGTCAGGAATGGTGGGAGTTGGAGTCCAAAACCCTTGGAAGGACCAAAGTTGGGCCAGTCGTGTTGGAGAGTCTCCTTCCTGGCTTACCTTAACCTGGAACCCGGGCGGTGGAGGTTTCCCGTGGGAGGCGAGGGCCAGCAAGGCGAGCAGGAGTCCCAGGGCCACGAGGGGCGAGGGGGGCATCCCGTGGGGAGAGGTGGGCTAAGGAGGCGGGCGGAAGGAGGGACTCTCCCACGGGTGGGTGGATGGATCCTCCAAAGGGTAAGGGTGGAAGCCGGAGTCCTCTCCTCTTTCTCCTCCTCCAAACTCCTGCCTTGCTCTCCTCCTCCTCTTCTCTTTCCTTCGAGGATCAGATCGGTTTCTTCTTCGCGCCGGGATCGCCGTCGGCTTTTTATAGCCAACCTGCTAAGCGGTGACGTCACCCCTCCCCGCCCTCCCCACTCGCGGGCGGAGGATGGAGTGGGGGGGAAAGGGAGAGAGAGAGATTGAGAGATTGAGAAAGAGAGAGAGAAGGGAAAGGAGGAAGGGAAGAGGAGCAGGTCTCCCGGCGCAGATCCGACGGGGATCCCTCGCTACCCGGAAAGTCCCACGCGAGACCTTCCGTGGGACAGACAAAGAGGAAGAAGAGAGAAGAGGGAGTGGAGTGGAGGGCAAAGGGAGAGATTGAGAGAGAGGGAAAAGGAGGAAATGAAGAGGAGATCTCCAGGCGCAGAACCGACGAGGATCCCTCACTGCCCTGAAAGTCCCACGCGAGACCCTCCGTGGGACAGACAAAGAGGGGCAAGGGGGGTTTGAGAGAGAGGGAAAAGGAGGAAAGGAAGAGGAGCGGGTCTCCCGGCGCAAATTCGAAAAGGATCCCTCACTGCCCCGAAAGTCCCACGCGGGACCCTCCGTGGGACAGACCAAGAGAATGAAGAGAGAAGGGGGAGTGGAGTGCATGGAGCAAGGGAGAGATTGAGAGAGAGGGAAAAGGAGGAAATGGAGATCTCCAGGCGCAGAACCGACGAGGATCCCTCACTGCCTCGAAAGTCCCACGCGAGACCCTCCGTGGGGCAGACAAAGAGGGGCAAGGGGGAGGTTGCGAGAGAGGGAAAAGGAGGAAAGGAACATGAGATCTCCAGGCGCAGAAGCGACGAGGATCCCTCACTGTCCCGAAAGTCCCACGCGAGACCTTCCGTGGGACAGACAGAGATAAGAAAGAAGAGGGAGTGGAGTGGAGGGCAAAGGGAGAGATTGAGAGAGAGGGAGAAGGAGGAAATGAAGAGGAGATCTCCAGGCGCAGAACCGACGAGGATCCCTCACTGCCCTGAAAGTCCCACGCGAGACCTTCCGTGGGACAGACAAAGAGGAAGAAGAGAGAAGAGGGAGTGGAGTGGATGGAGCAAGGGGGAGGTTGAGAGTGGGAAAAGGAGGAAGGGAAGAGGAGATCTCCAGGCGCAGAACCCACGGGGATACCTCACTGCCCTGAAAGTCCCACGCGAGACCTTCCGTGGGACAGACAAAGAGAAATAAGAAAGAAGAGGGAGTGGAGTGGAGGGCAAAGGGAGAGATTGAGAGAGAGGGAGAAGGAGGAAAGGAAGAGATCTCCAGGCGCAGATCCGACGAGGATCCCTCACTGCCCCAAAAGTCCCACGCGGGACCTCCGTGGGACAGACAAAGAGGAAGAAGAGAGAAGAGGGAGTGGAGTGGAGGGCAAAGGGAGAGATTGAGAGAGAGGGAAAAGGAGGAAATGAAGAGGAGATCTCCAGGCGCAGAACCGACAAGGATCCCTCACTGCCCTGAAAGTCCCACGCGAGACCTTCCGTGGGACAGACAAAGAGAAAGAAGAAAGAAGAGGGAGTGGAGTGGAGGGCAAAGGGAGAGATTGAGAGAGAGGGAAAAGGAGGAAAGGAACAGGAGATCTCCAGGCGCAGAACCGACGAGGATCCCTTACTGCCCTGAAAGTCCCACGCGAGACCCTCCGTGGGACAGACAAAGAGGAAGAAGAGAGAAGTGGGAGTGGAGTGTATAGGGCAAGGGGGAGGTTGAGAGAGAGAAGGAAAGGAGGAAAGGAAGAGGAGCGGGTCTCCAGGCGCATGTTCAACGAGGATCCGTCGCTGCCTCGAAAGTCCCACACGGGACCCTCCGTGGGATAGACCAAGAGAATGAAGAGAGAAGAGGGGGTGGAGTGGAGGGCAAAGGGAGAGATTGAGAGAGGGGGAAAAGGAGAAAAGGAAGAGGAACGGGTCTCCTGGCGCAGAGCCGACGGGGATTTCTATCCCGAAAGCCCACTATGCCCGGCCCACGCGAGATCCTCCCTGGGACAAAGAGAAAGAAGAGATAAGAGGGAGTGGACTGGAGGGGAAAGTGAGGGATTGAGAGAGAGGGAAAGAGGGAAAGGAAGAGGAACAGGCCCGACGGGGATCTCTACCCCAAAAAAACCCACCCTGCCCGACCCACGCGCGACCCTCCGTGAGACAAAGAGAAAGGAGATAGAAGAGGGCAGCTTACCTGAGAAAGAGAGTGAAAGAGAGGGAAGGTCCCTATACGCTTCTTGGGAAAGTGCCCCGTGGAGATGCTCCATCCCTCGCTGCCCATAAAGTCCCACGCGGGACCCTCCGTGGGACAAAGAGAAAGGAGAGAGAAGGGAGAGTGAAGTGGACGGGGAAAGGGAGCAATTGAGAGAGAGCGAAAACGGGGAAGGGAAGAGGAGCAAGTTTCTAGGCGCAGATCCGACGTCGATCTTTTCCCTGAAAACCCACTCTGCCCGGCCCACGCGGGACCCTCCGTTTGACAAGGAGAAAGGAGAGAGAAGGGACAGCTTCCCTGAGAGAGAGAGAGAGAGAGAAAGAGCGAGAGAGAGAAGGTCCACAAGCCTCTTGGGACAGTGCCCCCCCGGAGATGCTCCATTCCCCGCTGACCCGAAAGTCCCACGCGGGACCCTCAGTGTGACAAAGAGGAAGAAGAAAGAAGAAGGGGGAGTGAAGTGGATGGGGAAGGGAGAGATTGAGAGGGAAAGGAGGAAAGGAAGAGGAGCAGGTCTCCAGGCGCAGATCCGACGGGGATCTCTACCCCGAAATACCCACCCTGCCCAACCCACGCGCGACCCTCCGTGAGACAAAGAGAAAAGAGAGAGAAGAGGGCAGTTTCCCTGAGAAAGAGAGTGAAAGAGAGAGGTTCATATACGCTTTTTGGGACAGTGCCCCGTGGAGATTCCCCATCCTTCGCTGCCCCACGCAGGACCCTCCGTGGGACAAATCTACGTTTTGGGGAGGGGGCAAGGTTGTGTTCTGCTGCTCTGGAGACTAACTAGGACACAATTAATTAATCAAGGCCAGCTGACACTTCCCAACAAAACTCTAGAATCAGGACTGTAAATAAAGAGCAAGACTCTGAAAACAGGAGAATTCCAGACAGGAATTAATCAGGGCCAGCTAACACTTCCCAACAAAACTCTAGAATCAAGAGAGTAAATAAAGAGCAACACTCTGGAAACAGGGGAATTCCAGGCAAGAATTAATCAGGGCCAGCTAACACTTCCCAACAAAACTCTAGAATCAAGAGAGTAAATAAAGAGCGACCCTCTGAAACCAGGGGAATTCCAGACAAGAATTAATCAGGGCCAGCTAACACTTCCCAACAAAAATCAGGACAGTAAATAAAGTAAATAAAGTAAATAAATAAAGTAAATAAAAATCAGGACAGTAAATAAAGAGCAACCCTCTGAAAACAGGGGAATTTCAGACAAGAATTAATCAGGGCCAGCTAACACTTCCCAACAAATAATTCCTCCAGGCAGGAAGCAGCAGGCATTCAATGCTGCAAGGCTATTCAATGCTAATCAATATGGCCAATGGCAACATTCACACTTGCCTGAAACAGGCAAGATTTCTTTCTCCCACCCTGGACATCATCCCACAGATATATCAACCCCACTTGCCTAGTTTCCAACAGACCCTTCAACCTCTGAGGATGCCTGCCATAGAAGTGGGCGAAACGTCAGGAGAGAATGCTTCTGGAACATGGCCATCCATCCTGGAAAACCCTTTGCCCAAACCAGAGCCTTGACTGGGAGGAAAAGGACGAAATGCTGAAGGTATAGGCACACCTTGGGGAGGCAAGCACACCTGGAAGGAAGATCTGGCCTTTACCCGACAATAAAGAAGGGAAGTCGGGAAAAGATCGCCCAGTTTCCTCCTCGGGTGGTTAAAAGCCGGCGATGCCCACACTCGCGGAAAGAGGAGGAAGGAGGAGGAAGAAGAGAGGAAGAGTAAAAGGAAGAGGAAGGAAGAGAAGGAGAGGAATAGGAAGAGGAGACGAAGGAGAGGAAGGGGAATGGAAGGAGAAGGAGAGGAAGAGGAAGAAGAAGAGAGGAAGAGGAAGAAAAGGAGAAGAGGAAGAGGAAAAGGAAGAAGAGAAGGAGGAGAAAGAGAGGAAGAGGAAAAGGAAGAGGAGAAGGAGAAGAGGAAGAGGAAGAGGAGAAGAAGAAGAAGAGGAGGAGAAGGAAAGGAAGAGAAAAGGAAGGAGAGGGAGTGGAAGAGGAAGAGGAAGAAGAGAAGGAGAAGGAGGAAGAGAGGAAGGGGAAAAGGAAGAGGAGAGGAAGAGGAAAAGGAAGGAAGAGAAGGAAAGGAATAGGAAGAAGAGAAGAAGGAGAGGAAGGGGAAGGGGAGGAGAAGGATAGGAAGAGGAAGAAGAGAAGGAGGAAAAGAGGAAGAGGAAAAGAGAGGGAGAGGGAGAGGAAGAAGAAGAGAGGAAGAGGAGAAGGAGGAAGAGAGGAAGAGGAAAAGGAAGAGGAGAAGGAGGTGAGGAAGAGGTGAAGGAGAAGAGGAGGAGGAGGAGAGGAAGAGAAAAGGAAGGAGGAGAAGGAGAGGGGGAGGAAGAAGAAGTGGAAGAAGAAGAGAGGAAAAAGAAGAGAGGAAGAGTAAAAGGAAAAGGAGAAGAAGAAGAAGAAGAAGAAGAAGAAGAAGAAGAAGAAGAAGAAGAAAAAGAGAGGAAGAGGAAAAGGAAGGAAGGAGAGGAATAGGAAGAGGAGAAGGAGAGGAAGGGGAAGGGGAAGGGGAAGAGAAGGAGAGGAAGAGGAAGAAGAGAAGGAGAAGGAGGAAGAGAGGAAGAAGAAGAGGAAAAGGAGAAGGAGGAGAGGAAGAGGAAGAAGAAGAGAGGAAGAGGAAGAAAAGGAGAGGAAGTGGAAGATGAAGAAGAGGAGAAGGAGGAAGAGGAAAAGGAAGAGGAGAAGGAGGAGAGGAAGAGGAGAAGAGGAGGAGGAGGAGAAGGAGAGGAAGAGAAAAGGAAGGAGGAGAAGGAGAGGGTGAGGAAGAAGAGAAGGAGAAGAAGAAAAAGAGGAAGAAAAGGAGAAAGATATGAAGAAGGAAGGAGGAGAGGAAGATGACAAGGAAGAAAAGAAGAAGGAGAGGACGAGGAAAAGGAAGAAGAGAAGGAGAGGGTGAGGAGGAGGAGAGGAAGAGAAAAAAGAAGAAGTAAGAAGAGGAGAGGGAGAGGAATAGAAAGAGAAGACGAAGGAAAGGAAGAGGAAGAGGAGGAGAAGGAGAGGAAAAGGAAGAAGAAGAAAAAGAAGTAGCAGTTCTAAGGACAGGTCTACACTGTAGGATGAACGTAGTTTGGTGAGCAGGGAAAGCTGAAACCTTTGTGAGTCTGCTGCTTTCCCAGGATGAGCCCTGGCAGTCCTA